ACAAACAGATTTCGAGCCCGCACAAAAGCTGTGACAAATATTCCTTAACACTTTTGTTGGAAAGAGTGTAGTAGTATCCAGACGCCACATCACTGGTTGTGTACAAAGCCTATGGAGAGTCAAGAACATTTTCAAAGTATTTTCTAACAAAATTGGAAAGGTTTCTCAGTCCCAGATTCATGTCTTTTTTAACATTTTTGCAATGACTGACCTTCATCGACTGATAATGAAAAAAAGTGACGTCAAGCTGCAACATTCTTTCTGTTTTGTTTTGAGAGCAACAATCATGACTGAGTTTGTAAAACCAGAAAGCATATTTTTAATGATTTGGATAGTGTTTTAATTCTGTGACCATCACCACGTGATACAAGAATCGGGCTCTGCTCTTACCTCAAAATGTGAGTTCCTTTCTTCAGTTCTCGACTCAAATGTGACTGTAGGTTGTCCAAAAAATCAGCCAAACGGAGTAAAAAATGTGAAGTGGATGTCAATTCAAGGCACTCAGACAAACTGAATGGTAATCAGCAAACCTCGCTGTAATGAGTACGATTCACAAGCCAGTCCGACAAGGCAAAAAATATGAGCACTCCAAGAATGAGTGTTCATAAAACCAGCCCCAAACAACGACGTTCAGACTAGTCTATACCCGACAATGGAGCACAGAGCCCCTGATCGCTCGCTCACCTAACCTAGCACTGAGCTGGCTAGCTAGCGCTGCAGCAGCGTTTCATGCAAAGCCTGTGATGTCTGTGTTGATCAACACAGCCCCCAGAGTAGAGGTCCCTTGTTCTGAAAATACTAAACTTGTCCAAGTCCTTGCATGCTTTCCTTCTATGCCAAAATACCAAGCTAGCCTTCAATGTCAGCAATGAAAAGAAAAATTCTACATAAATCAAAATAAAAAAACTTGATCAAATTATCCAGTTTCACTTGACCACTTTTTTTAGACCAAAGACAATTTAAGGCACAACTCTAAATTCTGAGCCAGAAGGTCTTAAATAAATTGAACCCTGTAGACTTGTACAAGTTTACCGTAGCTCTGTTTACATGCATTTCTGGAATGATCCATGATTCATGAGGGGGGAGGTAGTCACCTGATATGGAAAGCAGATGGATTTGTTATGCACCCCCCTGTGAATTCCAAGAAAGCGAAATTTACTGGTTATATGTGTGTGGGTGAATGATCACGTATGCACAGGGTGAACCATGGGACAAAATAATAATAAGCTTTTACTGGACAGATGATTGATGATTGTAGGGGTGGTGGGCTTTCTACTTTGGTTCCATAAGAAAGACGGAACCAGGACTGAACGCTGTTTTCTAAGTCTTTCCTACCTCCATGTTTCAAGCAAGTTGTTTGGGTTCATAGCTGACAAAGGAAGTGGATGTATGATCATTTTTCAAAACAGTTGAACAAAGGAGACAAGTTTCTAAATTGATTCAAATTTCAAGGGGGTTAGCAAATTTTTACAATGTGTACAATTGTACATGTACATGTGCACAAGTGCATACAAGTGTGTACAGTGGCGTAGTCGCAAGGTCATTTTTATTTATTTTTTTGGAGGGGGGGTAAAAAATGTTTTTTTAAAGGGCACTTGCACAGCCCTGGTGAAATGTAGACACTTTTTTATCTCCGGGCACTTTGCCTCCGTAAAATTTAAAAAAAAAAGGGGGGGGGCCCCTGATGAGTCGTTGGGGGCGCTGTTCAAAACCGACAATAATGCACACTCACGTACGTACGTAATTGTTCAGAAAAAAACGGCACTCCTTAAAAAAAATGGGCACTTACACAATATTGGGGGGGGGGGGGGGTAAGCCTAAGCACTGGTGAAAAAAGGGCATTAGAATACGCCTATATATAGTGTATTTGCCTGCAATCGGGGACCCCCTATTGTCCCTCTTTTGTTTATCACACAGGTTCACCCACCCAGTCCAATACACATACTACATGTACATGTACACGTTGTAAGTTAGGCTAATTTCTAGATGGCTCTGTTTTCAGTTTAACAACATGAGAAAACCTTGTGAAATCATGAAAGTTTTCTCCTTTCTTCGTCAGTACTGGCACACAATATAACATCACTAGAGCAGGACGGAGCACATGCATTGCAACGTTTCATTTCAGGATCTATAGCCTTGGTATATACTGTTCTATCTATTTTCTTCCTCCATGATCCAATGACGGAACTGGAAATGTCCTGGAAGTCAGCGGAACAACTGTAAATAATCTACAGCCATTTGGTCTTGACATTCAGTTCCTCAAAAAACGAATTGAAACCGTGCCATCTCAAGACATCATGATAACAAATATACTGACAAATAAAGCATTATATGTAATGGGATTAGTAAGATTTGAGGCTTCAATGCATGGTGGAGATACTAAATAATGAAAGGTTTGCGGAAACACCATGTGCAAATAATTTCTCAACTAAGAGAATGGTTCTGAAAAGAACCAGAGGTATAAACTTGACGTTCCGGTCAGTATGCTCTGACCGTCTTCAGGAGAGTAATGGGATTATCCAATTCTGGCAATTCACACTTCCAATTCCTTAAAATAGACTGATAAGATTTAAACAATAGTGTCTCTGCTTTCCTATGTAAGAATGTTCTGAACCCTGTGTTTTTTTTAAAACTATGACTAGTTTATTCTTTTCAATTTCAATTTCACCACTGTCAGGTAAACTTATTCCTGTTCAGTGGAAAACTGCAGTCTGGAAATAGCTGAATGGAGAATTCACTGTTTGGTACAGATCAGTGTATTATGTGTGTGTGGACACAAATTCCGAGTACAAAAAGAAAAGTGTACCCAAGGTCACACACCCCTTCCACAGAATGGACTGTGCCATACATGTCCTGATTGTATGGTGACGTGGAAGAAACCCTGCTGACGTGCCAACGCACACATAAACACCACCACTGGCAACTGTCACATGACTTGGCACTACTTCAAAGCTATTTGCGTAAGAGCTAGCATGGCACTCAGCTCCAATAATACATGTAATGATGGACACTATAAAATTGCAGACAGACTTGGGCAACAGTATGGATTTCAGGCTAGGTACAGGAGAATTGGGCCAGGCAACTAGCTAGAAGTGCAATATATGCAAATTCTTGCATCAGACGACGACACAGCGGATAACTTTGTCATGTGATTTTCCTTGAATGAATTCCAACAAATCTGGCTGACCAAATAAACTTGTGATAAGTCTTGATACTTTTTTGATAGTCTGCTGAGAAACTTTTCACGGGACCAATTAACAATCGTAATTCTTCCAGAATAATCATAAAGGGAGACTTAAAGTGGCACTGACATAATACTAGTGACAAATATAATTATACGAGTGAGCTTATGAACCCATGGTTGCATCATGCATGGACAAAATCTGCTCCACAATATTTATAATGATAGGAAGGCTAATAAGTTTTTCGACTAAATTTTCTACATTTATTTTTGATGTGGTTTTGTAATAAAACATAGGCCCATTTTTTTTTTTTAAAGGTTCTCTTATTAGTGTTACATTTAAAGGTATAGTCCATCATTTGTAATTTGTGCATTTTGTTCGTTTGAAGCAACAAACGTGCTCAAAATCTAAAGAAGGGTGCTGAACAACTAGCCTGATGAAGTTTCAGCTCAGCTTCAGCTATATTTTCCGAGAAAAACAGCATTCTAGGATCCCGAATTCAAATCAAAAGTTGCTGAATCCTGTTTTGAATTGGGCCTGAATTCAGCGTCCGAGACACGTTCTCACTGAGCCGATTGCAGCTACGCGATGTCGCGCACTGATCCGACAAATTGTAGCAACCGCGCACACGTGTGCGCGCGCTTCGTGGCATAAAAAAAACGAACTACTATTTTCAATTTCCAACGGTGGCGCACTTTAAGACGCACCGTTGGAAAGGCCTTCTTTTGTTGATTTCTTCAAAATGACAGCATGCCAGAAAGAATAATTGCACACAGGGAGTTTAGTACCTTACTATCGTTCAACCAGGTATATTTTTCAACAATGATTACGTCAGTTACTTTTTGGATAGCTGCAAATGATGGACTGTAGCTTAACTTTTCAGTTTTCTGTGAACTTTCAACTATTCCATGGCAAAAGCTTAAAAAATGCTTCAATGTATGACCTAAAAAACATGAAAAATAATATAAATATAGGCTATGCACAAAGAATGCACACAAAAAAGGCATCAATGGATCGTCATTGCATGCTTGTTGATCGAGCACTAGTTTTTCTAGTTAAAAACAAAAGATTTAAACAAAAAAAATCAATCAAATGCATGATGCATACAATGTATATAAATTATAATTTAAATTTAAAAATGTTAAGTTACTTTCACAACACAAGATAATTACTAATGCCTATTGCAAATTATTACAAAAGCAAAGCCAGTCAGTTTTAAACTCTTGTTGGCTAGGCCCTTTGTAAATAAAATATGGCGCTAGAACGAAAAAAGGTAATTCCATGAATAAATATTATAACTTTCAATTATCAAAGAAAATAGTCGATTAAAACCTCACAAAAACAACCCCTATAAAAAAAAAAGTCCCCCCCCCCAAAAAAAATCAAAAACAACACACACAAAACAGCGCCCTCTCCCATTCCCTCAAAGTCAAATTAAAAAAAATCTGATTCTGAACAATTTTTTTGATCAAATTGATGGGGGAAAAAAGTTAGGGAACATACCCACAAATTCCAGCTCTCCTTCGCCGTCAACAAGCAGCTCTCTCATCTGATGCTATCACCTCAAATGTCATTCCCAATAGACACAACCTCAGAAATTATCAATAAAATCAGCAGCAAGTCTTTCCTTTTTTTTTTGACACTAAATCAAGCGGCTATTTCCATTCATGAATATTCATAACATTCTAGTCGGAGGAAAAAAACGAACGATTTGCAAAAACCCTTCTTTTCGTCAAGGTACATGTCCTTCGGTGTCAGTACACGTCAAATTTAGACCAGACGTTAGGAAACACGACTGAGACATGCAGAATCGAATGCGACCAATAGGTACCAGACTCAATTATACAACGAGTATCGTGTGCAGTAAAAGTTACGTGACTGACAACGGAACTTGGACTTCGAAACGGTGAACGCCGCTGAAATTTTCTGATCTTCATAATTTTGAAGTTTAAAGAGATTTTCATCAACATTCTACTGAAATATAGAGTCTACTCTTGTAACAAATAAGTGAAATATGGCGCTGAACAAACTAGCGATGAGACAGATGTGGCGTCCGCTTGCCTCAATATCGCAGCGATTCCAAGGCACGACAGCAACGGCAGCAAGCACACAAACTCGTAATCGTATCCTTTTTATAACTAGGGGGCTATCGTTACGGCAGCCGTAACGCGATTTTCCACCGCTACCGTTACGGTATTGCAAAATTACTGTTGCTAATCTATATCACATTCATAACTAGCCGTCAAACCAGAACGCTTCGGTAGCTCGATTGGTTTACACTTCGTTGTGTCCATGCAACAAGGTCGTATCTCCTATGTATAAAGGCTATGGCGTGTAACGTCATTTACGTGAAACGCGAGTTTTCAATGTCAAAGCTCTTACCTCGCTTAAAATAACCCGTATGTACAGTTGTACGCATAAAGTCGATAGACATGATAGACGTCGCGATACGCGAGATATGACCTATAGCTCCATGGTTACACAGAGCGTATTTTCGAGAGATACGACTTTGTTGCAGAATCGAGTTACGACCTTGCCGAATTAATACACATTTGACACGTTCGACTACAGAGCCAGGGACTGCTGCAACGCTGTTATTTTTTTGCTGATTGTTTTGTTAATTTTTTTTATTTTTAAAAATAGTTTAGGCCTACTTTCATATTTTTAAATTTGATCAAATTGTTCTTTTTGTTTAAGTAGATTTGTGTTTCTCCCTAATCCGTGGCTTTGGAGGATTGAATGATAGTCTGGTTTCAACAGCCAAAGATCCTGACATTGATTACTATTAGGTCAGGGAGCAAGATGATGCCGTAATGATAGCAGTTGAAAATTGCGTTACTGCTGCCGTAACAATAGCCACTGCGTTTTAAAAACTGTGAAAATGATTAGATGTAATTGTTAAGTAGGCCCATTATACATGTATATGGACAAATGAAGATGAACAATGATGATTGATGATAATTGATATCCTTCACCTGATGTTGTGCCGTTTTATTTAAAAAAGGGTTAATTATATTGCATTGATTCAATTCAATTAATTCAGCGTGTTAAGTAAATGTTTCACAAGGCACAATCGGTGGATTTGGGCTAAAAAATCAAAGTGGCACCTAACAATAAAGCACCACAACTCTGCGATAAAATAACTGTGTGTATGTGCATAGTTTTGGGGTTTTCAAATATTTAAACCGTCAAAAAGCTATACGAATGTTCGTTTGAGGATTGAATGTATTTGGTATATTCAGGACAGATCTATTTATTTGTTGGGTAAGAAGTTTAAATATCTATTCCTGGAATTCACAAGCATTAGAGAACAGAATATGCCCTGGAGTTTTTAAATTCATATCAGATGTAACCAAAAAAAAGAGTTTACCCTATAAATTAATGATCCATTGTAATCCCACCAGTTTTAAATTTCAGGAATGATTCCCATATGTGGCCATCACTAATTTTTCCCTACAGTGACCTATCTGCCATCAAAAAGGGATAATATGTCCTAAAAAAGGGTCAAATTTAGCAGGGAAGCATTTATTGAGAAAACACTTAAAAAAATTGTCAGACCAGTCTCATAGGGTTTGTGCACAGAGTGGCAAGTGATGTCCAGGTGTGGGAATCTTTCCAAATTCCACACCCAAAAGTACAAGTGCCCTATTCCCCTTGACTCTGTTTACCTTGAAGCTGAAGCTAAAGCCGAGAAGGTTCAGTTTGACTGGAAAGATGCGTTGAATCTAGAGCGTCACCTGACAGAGGAGGAAGTGATAGTGCGAGATCAGATGAACGCCTACTGCCAGGACAAACTCATGCCTCGGGTCCTCATGGGCAACAGAAATGAAGGTTGGTCATAATTTGGGATTTTTTTGGTGTTTGCGAATATGTGGGTTTGGTCTTCAGCCTCGGCTTCATCTGTGGCTTTACAATCAGTTGTCAAGGAGACATTGTGAAACCCAAACAAAAATATTCTAAATTTCGGCCAGTGCACCAGTGGGTAGGACACACTGCACGTGCACACACTCTTGTTTTACTATACTCCCGAGGACAATGCTTTGTGTTTTCCTTTGTCCCTGTAATAGAACACACTCCCATAGACTTCTACAGAGGACCGTTTTGAACAAAAGACCCAACTCCCGAGGACTGAAAGGATCTGTTGTCCCCCCTTTGTGTGTCTGTCCTCGGGGGTTATGTAGAACAAGTACACACTGGTTTGCATGCATGCAGCTCGAACTACACACAGCTTGTACACAAACTCATAGCTCAAACTCAAACTCTTCCCGCGAGTGCCAGGCATTGCGCCGGAAATCAGCATCCAGAACAGGTTCTCATTCAGCCAATTGCAGCTACGTGATGTCACGCACTAAACCAACAAATAATAGCAACTGCGCGCGCACGTGTGCATCATGTCAACGTTTGCGCGCACCAATTCACGGATTCGCCCAATTGCAAACCGACCACTAACGGAAATTTCCAAAAATGTATCACTTGACTCATCTTTCAAGACCTTTTATTGTTTTCTTCAAATTGACAGCATTGACAGCAATTTTACAGGGAGTTTAGTGCCATTGCTATCTTTAAACCAAATAAGCCTTTTAAAAATAATTTGGTCAGTTACTTTTTGGATAGCTGCAAATGGCTCTACTCTAATATTGAAATAACCTTACTGATTTGTATGTTAAAGCATTAAGAGTCTTTGCATATTATATCCAAGTGAGACTTACTTGAATCTGATTATATACGAATGTTTGTGTGAGGTATCAGAAAAGTCGTGAGTGGAATGTATTTGACTGATTTTACTTGTGTCTTACCTGTTACTGAATGCAGTCTTCCACCGGGAGATCTTTAATGAAATGGGCGAGCTGGGGGTCCTGGGTCCTACCATTAAGGGCTATGGGTGTGCCGGGGTGTCCTCGGTCGCCTACGGTCTGATCGCGAGGGAGGTGGAGAGGGTGGACTCCGCCTACCGTTCGGCAATGAGTGTCCAGTCATCACTTGTCATGCACCCAATCCACGAGTACGGAACGGAAGCACAGCGACAAAAGTACCTCCCAAAATTGGGTAAGAATGCCTTTCTTTCTTAACCCTCCTTGTCTTCTGCTCTTCACGATCCTTCAAGTTTTGCAAAACCGTTTCAAATTCCTTTGAGTTAATCTTTGGGGGTATGAATGACACTTCAAATTCCTGCACAGTTCTTTTATGTGGTTAAAGGGGTACTGTGTCCTGAAATCCATGAAATGTTCATGTTTTGGATTGTTCACTTATCCTATTTGAAACATCTGGTTGAATGGAAACCAACCTAATGTCTTACCGTTCCTGAGAAAAGACAAAAAAAAAATGCTTGTTAACATCGGACACGACGGAGTACACATACGTTTTTCCTGTCGTTTCAGTCAATGTACGATACACGTTGTGTATGTCACATAAAATTACACACAGCACTAATGCACAAATGTGGTTTCTTACACGTCCACAAAAGGCGAACACTTTTTGGCTGGAATCACAACTAGCATGAACAGCCCGACTTTTTGGGGGGTCGCAAAAGTGGACCCCGAAAGTTGTTCTCGCACGCATAGCACGCAATAACACAAAAACGCCCAGTTTTTAAAGGATAGTTGTGTGGATGTTTAAATCCAACTTTTAAATGTTCTCTCTGATTAACAGCATTTTGTTCAAAGCGCATTTTGTAGCCCAATTGGGCTCATTCCACGACGCAGTGTCCCTTTAAGCTCAGTGCAAGCAGGCAGATTCGGTCACTGCTCTCCAGAGTGCCGTTTTCTGTGCAGTGATTCTCTGTATGGCACCTCATGTCCCTTTACCTGAAACTGACCTGCAGGGTTTCAAAGGGTTTCACATATTGCTGTGAATACTGACTTCCTTCTAGTAAGGTTACAAATAATTTATGTTGCCAAGAGGTCACTTTCTAGGGCCGAAAATAATAAATATTCAAATATGCAACCATCCACAGAATATCTGATTGAGCATTTTTTTTCCATTAAAACATTTGAAAAAAGTGAGCGGTCTTGAGAAGATGAAGAATGTCCATGATGTTCTCTTAATTGTAACAGTTTGCATAGATCTTTAAAAATTTCAACGAGCAGCTACTCGGCTGAATGTACATTTAAAAATATATCCATACATACACGATGTGCTCAATAATCATGTCGTTATCACTTTTAGACAAACCTTGATTTGCAGCCATTTTAATTCCCAATTGCCACTCACAAATTTCTGACGAGGCACACATGTGCACAAGTTTCCATCCCTAAAAATCTTTCAACGATCAGCTTGTCAACTACATGTAAATCCAAAAAAAATATCAATACATACATGATGTGCTCAATAATAAGCTCGTTATCAATTCAAGACAGGTGTATGCAAATGCTGATTTGCAGCCATGTTAATTCCCGATTGCCAAACACAAATTTCAACCAGTGCACACGATCTGTTACACCTTGCCCTCTGGAGACATGCACACAATAGGGAACAAAAGATTGTATATGTCTCCACTGGGCAATTTCTATAGATGAATACGTCTCCACAAGGTTTTCACGAAATAGGTATATGGATTTTAATCAAATACTAGGAATTTCCAAGGTATGTTGATCCGTCGCAAATGGTAGAGTTTTAGAGTCTGAATTTCAGCCAAGGAAATTAATTCTGGTTAAAATAAGAGCATTTTGAAACTGTACTTTCAAACTCAAAAACTTTAGTACACGAGAACAAAAAAAATGTGCAAATGTTTCCATTTTTAAAATCTTTCAACGATCAGTTAGTCAACTACATATGAACATTAAAAAATATGTATCAAAACCTAGGTGATTTTCTTCAAAATAAGCTCATTATCAGTTGTAGACAGGTGAATGCATATCCCCTTTGAAGCAATTTTAATTCCTGATTGCAAAATTTTAACCGCTGCGCTGGTATACACTTCCTGGCTAGCAGGTGCAACTTCTGACCAGCACACACAATTAACTCTTGCGCACGTAAAACTTGGTGTATTTCAAATGTTCGAATTTATTCCATCCAATCTCAATTTGAAAAATGATTACTAAGTAATTAAAAAATATAATGCACAACCCTAATGACTACAGACATGTAAATGTTGACAGCGCAACGTACACATTAACAGTGTTGGAGCAAAGGCTTTGACCATCAAGGCCAAGGCCAAGGCTTTGACCCTCAAGGCCAAGGCCAAGGCCAAGGCTTTGACCCCCAAGCCTCGAGGCCAAGGCCAAGGCTTAACCCTCAAGGCCAAGGCCAAGGCCCTGTTTTATGAAATGACCACTGATATAGAACTAATTATAGTCACGAGTGACACATCATCACGCAAGGGCGGATCCAGAACACATTTTTTTGGGGGGGGGCAAAGAAATTTTGGTCCCCCCAAAAAAGTGGGTCAAAAAATTACGGTTTGGGCTTCGGGGCCCGCTTAAGGGCCCCGAAAAATTTTGGATTCAAAATGCTCTGTGGTGCGATTTGAGGCAATTTCTGACCATTTTAACCGATTTTTTTTAGGAAAAGATGGTGGTGTACTCATTGCCTGCCTTTATTACGACGTCACAAAAAAAGTGGTTTCGTTGTTTTTTTTGGGGGGGGGGGGCATGGCCCCTTTTGGCCCCCCCCCCCTGGATCCGCCCTTATCATCATGAATTGCTCGTTACGAAGAACAACATTTCTTTAATTGCAATCAACATGCTCGCATAGGCCTACACCGTTTTATGACTGCACTGTATCTATTAAAGTATAAGTTCAGGTCTTCAATATGGTTTAACTAAACAAAACAATGATTTACTTCTATATTGACACACAATTCTCCCAAGTGTAACAAAAGGGGGATCCAAGAAACTGATTTGGGAAATTTTTATTTGCTGGCCCAACATGGTCAGAAATATCAGCATTATCTAAAACAGATACATGCAAATCTTTAGCACTTATCAGGGAGACATATACACCCAATCAGATCTATTCCATAGTTATATGCAATTAAAGTGATCATCTCATTAGCCCCACAAGTGTACGGAATATTGTTGCAGCAAATCTACTACAATGGTAACATGTGATGCTATAAAAGTGGAAGTGTGCCCAACACACAAATCTATATGGTGCTCCCCTCCTCCATCGTAATACGATTAAAATGGTAACAGCAACATTTCGAACAGATTTATCTGGAAAATGCAAAAATCTATGGGCCTTGAAGAGCCTTGACTCAAAATTGCAAGGCCCTGAACCCTCAAGGCCAAGGCCAAGGCTTTTGCCCTCAAGCCTCGAGGCCAAGGCCAAGGCCCTAAAATCCAGCCTTAAGGCAGCCTTAAGGCCAAGGCCCAGCATCAAGGCACTACATCACTGGTACACAATGAGAGTGGCACTTCTTGCTATTTTGGAATATCTTAGTGTTAACGATGTTTACTTATGTGGCTTCCAAATGCGTTGATGTTTGTGTGGTCTTGGATAAAACAAAGGACGGACAAGTGAATATATGGCCTTCTACAGCGAACACTTGGTCGATCGTTCGTTTTCAAGCATGTTGTCCAAAAGGTTTATTCTTAGTGTTTATTACTGCAATTAAATATGAGGATTTCTTGGAGGGTTTTTTTTTAGGGAGGGGGGGGGGGAATAATAAACAGTCTCATTCATAAAAAAATGTTTCACCAGTTTTCAACTTAGATGTAATAAAGTCATCAAAAGTCAGTTGATCACCCGTACTGTTATGTTATCCGATTTCAAATTTCTATATATAAAAATATATAACAAGTTTTTTTACATTACCATAGCAACGGGTGAACTGGTGGGTGCTTTTGGACTGACGGAACCAAACCACGGGAGTGATCCCGCTGGCATGGAAACCAGAGCACGATACAACCCTGCAGGGAAGAGCTATACCCTGAATGGCGCCAAGTCATGGTGAGAAAGTTTAAGCACTTTTAAATTTGTTTAACCCTAACCTTCCTCAATCCTCCAAAGTCCTCCAGGTGGTTTTGGAGGATTTTGGAGGATTTAGGATGAATGCAACATGCAGTTTTGGAGGATTTTGGAGGATTGAGGATGAATGCAACATGCAGTTTTGGAGGATTGAGGGCACAAGGACATTCAGAACCGGTTGATTTTGGAGGATTGAGGATGAACGGTGTTTGAAGAAGAGGGGGATTTTGGAGGATTGAAGATGAACGGTGTTTGAAGAAGAGGAGGATTTTGGAGGATTGAGGATGAACGGTGTTTGAAGAAGAGGAGGATTTTGGAGGATTGAGGCTGAATGCATTTTGAGAGGCAGGGCTGTTGGAGGATTGTGAAGGATTGGGGCAGTGGGTATCCTTCATTTGAACATAAGTGCAAAATTATGGAGGATGGTTCCTAGCAAAAAGGGCCTAGGAGCTTAAAGTTTTAATATTGTCCTTTTTCTTATTTTATGGGATGATAGGATCACAAATTCTCCCATCGCCGACGTCTTTGTGGTTTGGGGCAAGAATGAAGCTGAGGGCGGCAGGATTCGGGGCTTCATCCTGGAGAAAGGAATGAAGGGATTGTCGGCCCCGGTCATCGAGGGCAAGTTTTCCCTGCGGGCCTCCACGACGGGTCAGATCGTGATGGAAGACGTGGAGATACCGGAGGAAAACATGCTGCCTAATGCTCAGGGCCTTGGGGTGAGTAACACAGACAAAGTTCTGGCAGAATGAGACAGAAGTGGGCAGAGGTTGAAATGTGGGTTATTAGGAAAGAGAATAAGGGCAATTCCACGGTTACTCAATTTTGTGCGTCTTGTTTATCATACATAACACATTTTTCTGGATGTCGTCTTTGGTGCTTAGGTAGGTCTAGGTCTACTCTATCTACCATGGGGATAACAGTTATTAAACCTTTTCAGTAAGGTAATTACAGCCCAAGGAAACTCAAAAGTACATCAAAAATGACGTATCAAAGATTACAGAAATCCCTTAATCTCAAAACTGAAGAAGAAAAATCACCACAACACCAAAAAAAAAAAGTCTCCGGTTTCTGGTATGCGCGCACGTCACCGTAGCCATGCGCATCGGCAAAATGAATTTTTTTTTTTTCAATAAAACATGATGTCTCAAAACCGCCAAACTCACTGGTTTGACTGGAATCCTGCTGCTGCACAATTTTAACGTGTTTTAGATGGGGTCATGATTGAGAATAAGCTTTATGTGGCCTCTCTGGACTCCCATATATTTGCACTAAGTTTAGTCGGGCACCATTTCCAGTCATCAGCCGACATTTGAAGCAAAAACAAAAACTGGTAAAAAAAAAAAATGCCGCTTCGCCGCACCACTTTTTGGGCAAGCTCCATACCAGAAACCAGAGACTTTTTTTGGGCCCTATTCATGTTTTTTGCAATGTACCCAGTTTCCTTTATTTTTGCCAGAACGCCTCACATGTGTGAATTTTTGATATATTAACGTGTTGTAATATTTTGATTTATTCCATATATAAATTAAATGCTCAACGCTTCTTTTAGGGCTTTTGAGGAAAAATTCACTCAGTTTGAACTCGAACCTAGAACCTCCTGCTTAGTGCAGACATTTCACCACGCAACCAGAATAGAACAGAAAAATATGAATCACACATGCCCCAACTATAGCATCAATTGTTCCCAACTAGGGCACAGTCCCAACTAGAGTTAGGATGGTCCCAACAATTGGTTCTTGGTTGGTTCTTCTCCTAAATACTCTGCGTGGGAGTTTATACAGGAGACCAGAAACACCGGGGCAAACCCCTTCTCTTAGCGATAAGTGTCACTGGGTTCTTTTACGTGCATTGGATTACACAACACGCGGGACCTACGGCTTTACGTCCCATCCGAAGGACAAAGCAATAATGGGTACGTGCCTTGCTTAAGGGCATAAGTGTCCACCCAGGCTCGAACCTACGTCACTGTTGCCTCTGAAACACCAGAGCATGAGTCTGGTGCTCTTAAATGCTAGACCATGACACTCCAGTTGAGATGGTCCCAACAATAAGTTGGGACTGTCCCATCTATAGCTGAGATGTAGCATTTGCATTCATTCTATGGATCTTGTTGTGCTGTCTTTCTAGGGTCCCTTCGGATGTCTGAACAGTGCCCGTTACGGCATATCATGGGGCGCCCTTGGGGCGGCCGAGTTCTGCTTAGAAGCTGCCAGGCAGTACACGCTGGACAGGTAATCACTCACCCTTGGAGTAAAAAACTTTGGAGTAAAATTATAAGTAAAATCTTCAGCAAAATATGGAGTAAAATTTGGAGTAAATTTGGAGTAAATTTTTGAAAAAATTGGAGCAAAATTTTGGAAAAAAAATTTAGATTACATTTTTGAGTAAACCTTGGTGTAAAAATTTGAGTAAAATTTGGGGGGGGGGTACCCTTATATAAAACTAGATAAATATTCACCCTTGATTTTTATGTTTATTTGGCCATTCATTACCATCCAGTTTTTTTTTTTTTTGCCAAGAAATCATGCACAGTGCGATGATATGCAACAGTTGTCAAAATGAGAAGCCTGCCAGTGTAGCAAGATCCATCAGGTCAAAAGTCTCAAGGCCAAACTGCCTCAGAGTCTGTGGTCACCAACTGCAGCAGGATACAACTGTGGCATTTTTCAATGGGACTAGCTCTCATTGTCACAGAATTGGCAGTTTATGCACTGGTGTTGATGGCTCAATGCAGCAAGGTTCCACATACTTTCACACCTGATGCACTGTGTTGCGTCTGGCAGGGTTGGGGTTAACCCTAACACTCACAGCATTTTTTGCAGGTCGAAATAAAGATATTTGTATAAAAGTGTGTTGGTAACCAATATTGTTTACCTTGTCCAGGATTCAGTTTGGATCCCCGCTTGCCAAAAACCAGCTTATCCAGAAGAAGCTTGCCGATATGTTGACCGAAATATCGCTGGGACTGCAGGCTTGCGTTCAAGTTGGACGACTCAAGGACGAAAACAAGTAAGAGAGAAAACACCGAAAAAAATATCAAATCCTTTTTGTCAGTGGCAGAATTTAATTCAAATTGCGTAAGTCTAATTTTGCTGACTCTCCCTTTCGTACCGTTGAGGGGGTACTTGTGCGCGGAGCCCATTGTACTTGACTGACCGCTCACTGACTGTCACTTGAGAATCCGACTTCCTCAAGTCTTACCGTGACCCAAAAATTTGAAATGGGATTACTTTGAATTACATGAATGGGTCACATCTGGCACATTTTGTAGACCACATTCACTTCCAGTGAATGGAGTACCGAAGAGTAACATCATTGAGAACCAGAAAATGTAGTGAAGTAACGAATGGAGTACGCACGCTTGTTGGTTCACGGGCTGAATCACGTGCTTAGTGTCTTTTACACACATTTTGTGCGCGTGACTTCGCATTCACCATTCTGAATCCATTGAATAGAATACTTTGGGACTAGGTGTACTAAATGTGCCTTATTGTGTTTAATATTGGCAGTAGCCAGATTTGAATATGTGGCCAGAGGAACACCATACCGGTGATCCAACTCTCCAGCCCTGTGATTTGTGATCTTCCACATTTTTCAATGTCATTGTTGACAGATGGCTAATTTTTTAATCCCATAGGTCAAAGGTCAAGGTCGTTGTGGTTAAAACGCAAGACTTGGTTTTCGAGACTATGTGAGAAAATACTTGTGTGTCAATTTCCCATTGTTATTTTGGCTAGTCACACAGCAGCCTATTGATCTTGAATCCAACTGGTCAAAGTTAAGTTTACCTGTTCTTTTTTTTGGTCAGAATTGCACCGGAAATGATCTCCATGATCAAGCGCAATTCTTGCGGGAAGGCGTTGGACATTGCCCGGATGGCGCGGGACATGCTGGGCGGCAACGGCATCTCAGATGAGTATCACATCATCCGACACGTCATGAACCTGGAAGCTGTCAACACATATGAAGGTAAGGGAGAAAAAATTAGCTCTGGTAGACACATGAGGGCGCTTTCCAAAAATAGTAGGGCTGTCACAGAGTAGGTTCAAATCATGCACTCTCTAACACTCTCATGCACGTTGTTCCACTCATGTGCCGTTGTACGTGGGTTCGAACCCTGACTGGGAACATGGTGCTTGTGTTCTTGGGCAAGACACTTTACTTCAATCACCTCTCTCCACCCAGGAGTATAAATGGGTACCCCTGTAGGTAGAGACCAAAATGCACTTAACTCTAGCTGCTGCAAAAAATGGTCTCATGACCTGATGAACAGGGGTAATAATTGTGAAGCGCTTTGAGACCTTTGGTATAAAGCGCTACATAAGCACCACATTACTATTATTATTATTATTACTTTGTGCTGCTTATTTTCAGGTACCCACGACATCCATGCGTTGATCCTTGGACGAAGCATCACGGGACTTCAGGCTTTTGTACCTGCCAAGAATTAGTTTAAAGAACGCCCCCTGCTTCCCCCCACAAGTCAGTGGAGCTCCTAAACACACAATATTGGTTAGCGAATTGATAAGTTCAAGCTGACCAAACCATTCAAAAATGATAAATATGCACTCTGCATGATATCTTAAGTTGCGAACATTGTACCGGGTATAATCTGCAGGATTCTGAACAACTTCCCCGCAATCTTCCCGCAATGAATTATCAGTATTAGTGAGTCAAGCAGTTGCTAATGAAAAATTCCGAGCAACATGTCTGGGACAAATGTGGAGCTTCTTCCAGACAAAGTGAATGATTCTTCCCCCACACTTGTCCGGAATTCGTCCCGGAAATGAATTGAGATGGCCCTAAGCCGGTGTCATGTTTTTTTTTCTGTTAAGCGAGAATGAATTCTGTGGATGGCAAAATTGTGCATTGAGCTGCTTTGTCGATTTTATCACGGAACAGTATTCAACCAACGTGGTTTCACATGAGAATGTTTTAGAGAATTAAAAACAATATATATTGTTTCTTACTTTTTTTGTGGAAGAAATTTAAACCACATCTCCAGGTGTTTTTGGAATGTCTTGCTTGCTCCACTTAATTCTTTCCCAAATTTGAACTGAAAAGCAATAGTGTAAAGGACTGAAAAGAGCGTTAAGAGCAATCTTGAACGAAACATTGCCTTAGGCCAAAAAAAAAAAGGTCTCCGGTTTCTGGTATGGAGCTTGTCCAAAAAGTGGTGCGGCGACGCGGCTTTTTTTTTTTTTTTTTTTTTCCCCCCCGACTTTTTGCTTCAAATGTCGGCCGATGACTGCAAATGGTGCCCGACTAAGCTTAGTGCAAATATATGGGAGTCCAGAGAGGCCACATAAAGCTTATTCTCGATCATAACCCCATCTAAAAACATTAAAATTGTGCAGCAGCAGGATTCCAGTCAAACCAGTGAGTTTGGCGGTTTTGAGACATCATCTTTCATTGAAAAAAAACCTTTTTCATTTTGCCGATGCGCATGGCTACGGCGACGCGCGCGCATACCAGAAACCGGAGACTTTTTTTTTTGGCCTTATGTAAATTGTTTTTGGTTGCGTAATGTGTAAATGTGAAACCGTCAACATGATGAAATTCACAAATATTCCAACATCATGACGTGGACTCATTTTTTCAAATTCTCTCTGAAACAATTGCAGATAAACCTTTGAATACTGTGGGGTTTTTTTTTTACTGAAGTGTATTTTGTTTGCTTTTTTGTCCATATGTTTTCACCTGAAATTGAGAGATATTGTACATACATGTATCCGAGATATTTTAAGTATAGGGTGTTTAAGTGTAACATAATTAAGACAACACCAGTTGGTTATCATTAACATCAGTTCTGTCGATGAATTTGAATCATGTCTTATGTACATAACTGATAAGTATGACCTTATATGAAAAGAAAATGCGAATTATGCATGCGTATGTCCAAGTTGGTTTAGTATGCGAGTTGGTTTTTATGGCTAGCAAGCTACTTACCTCTCCGAACACAATTATTAAACAAAATAATGAAAAATATTTAATTTCCTTCGTCAAAATAGAACATTGCCAAAAACAAAAACAAAAAAATCAGTTACATGAGCCCTAAAAATTATTGGACTTGACACTGTAAAAAGTAATACGGATCAGTCACGGCGTTCAATACTTGTGACTCTTTCCTTTTAAATACTTTTAATAAGTTACAAGAAGTGCCAAAGAACCAGTTGAATAGCTACCTTGGCGCATCAAAATATAAATTCCTTAACCCTAACCACCCCAACCATTCAAAATCCAACTGCATGTTTTGTTGGATTCTGTTGGAGTGAGTACTGCACTAGTAAACTGATTATGCTTTGCATGGAGTCAGGCATACCACCATAATCAGAGTCCAACAGTTTGGGTTTTGAGTTTATCATGTGGTTTTGAATTTTGCAAGAGTGAGGAAGATTCCTAGTAAATCACTCAAGGGGGTTAGTGTTAATTTTTAAAAAGCTGTATATCCTCTCTAAGTGATCTCTGTTTGCTTTTTCCCAGGTTTACAGCATTGCTAATGTTGCTAGCATCGTAACTTTGGGTGTGATCCCTGGCTACATACTGGTTTATGGCTTCTGACTAGCGCCGCTTGAACAAAGACATTTAGTACGGCATATAGGTGATGAGATTGTTCGTTTGATGATAAAAGCATGGAATTTGGCACACAGTCAGAGTATGTCATGAGAAAGATATTTGTCTATCCTGTTCGTTGTGATGTCATCTCAATTTAACCATGCGTACTTCACACGGTATAGCATAGCACGAATGGAACCGGAAGGTAACGCAACTTACGTGTTTATCCATGGGCGCTTGTAATCATGGCCCAATTTCACGGCGCTGCTAAGCACACGATTTTCTGCTAACAGAGCCTCCGTCTATTTCATGGAGACCGTAAGCATAAGAACAGCAAAAGGCACGCTTACTTCAGAGGACAAATTTGCTTAACTTAGTGACGTAACAATATAAATCTCCATGCACGCACGACCGTTAGCACACACACACCGTGAAATAGTGCTTAAGGTTAGCAAATTTTTCTGCTATGCTAAACTCAACTTTTCTGCTAACTGTTAAGCAGCGCCGTGAAATTGGGCCCAGTGGTGTGTGCGCGTGTACGACGAAGTCACTAAAGAACCTGATAGGGCCATTGCAGATTTGTCCTTTGAAATAATATAGGTAGAACAACAAGCAATGACAGCCATTTTGAAAATTGCTTGTAATTCTTCCTGTATTTTTTTCAAAGGACAAATCTGCAATATCTTTCTTAAGACATACTCTGACTGTGTGCCAAAAGCCATGCTTGTATCATCAAAGGCACAATTCCCCAAAATATTTCCCTTATCTGCGCCAATACAAACGGGGAACCGCCAACATGGGGCTGGATAGCTCAGTTGGTAGAGCACTGGAACGGCAATCTGTAGTTCACCGTTTCAAACAGCGTTCCAGTCAGTGTTTTTGTTCAACTTTATAAACAATAATTATCGTTAAGTCATTTTTAAACTACAATTTGTTGTCCCTCAGAATTAACAGATGTAATACTTACATATGAAAATGTAATTCTGAAAATTTATGAAGTCTTAAATTAGTTTGGGTTTTTTTGGTCATTGGACAATACCATACTTTCTGTTTGATAAGAGATGTGCTTTGCTTACCCATGTGTGAAAGCTTATTTTTGGAATTTTATTCTGATATAACGTGTAAAATAAATCATTTTTTGGAAATCCCTACAATGAGATTGTTGAAAGTGTACATTCTTACTTCTTAACAAAAGTGTCCACTTCTTACAAATCGTGGACAATGTATATTATACTGGGACCATGCATTGTCCGAATGATTTGTATAACGAAATGTCGATGACCGGCCCTACACTTTTCTTTTTGTTACTAAAGATTTTCCCATCATTTAAATCACATGAGATTAGTTTCCCAAAACTAGGACAAATCAGAACGCTACATTCGTGAATTACAACGGACTGAATACGGAGCCATGCCGTGAATCTGTTTTTTGGGGGTTTTTTTAGCAATAAACTATCTACATGTATTATTCTTTTAAAGGGAATATACATCATTTGCTTTTGCTGTAATTTTCAGAAATGGATGGAATTGGGGGGTTGGAAATATATAGCAAATATAGTTACACTGACTTTTTTGACGTTTTGGGTTCAAAAATGCTATAAAAACCAAGAAAAAACAATCATTTTCCTGTAGTCTGGTTCCCTGACTCCATTTAAGAAGAAACAGAGCAGTTTACATATATTGGGGAATTGTAAGGTCAGGGAACCAGTCTAGCTGGCTTGTACCCGTTCATAGGTGTGTAATCGATTGCAAACAAGTGCGATGGTCAACTGGGGCCAGTATTTGAAAAAAAGCCAGTTTTTTCCAACGCTGGTCGGCCGATCAGCGTTGGAAATTGATACAAAAATACCACTTTTCTTGAAAATGACAGTAAACCAGGTGCCATGATTTTACAGGATGCTTTACACTGTCGTTCACTAACAGTCCAGCAAGGTATTTCAAAATGATTTGGTAGTTTTATTTTTTGATGTTTGCAAATGTTGTATTTTCCCTTTAATCGTTGAAAATGGTGCAAGAACAATGGAAATCCTGAATTGTGGGACTGTACCTACCGGTAGATCCATGTCCATATGTGCAGTGTGTATGTATGGATTGGTTATCCATTCAGACTGAGGACTTGGACTGAGGACAATGGGGCGTGTGCGATTTCAATGGGCCCAAAGACCTGAGCACTAGTCCTCGGGAGAATTTCCTGTACAAACCTTCTGGGAGCTGTCGAGAAAAAGTTAAAGAGTACAAACATCAGGGAACAAAAGAAGGAAAGGGGCAGGTCTATCATGAGTACAGTAAAAATGAGCTGTGTGTTCAGACATGTCAGAGTATGTGGACTGGCCATCTGTGGTTTGGCCAATTGCTTAAAGGGAATATACATCATTTGCTTTTGCTGTAATTTTCAGAAATGGATGGAATTGGGGGGGTTGGAAATATATAGCAAATATAGTTACACTGACTTTTTTGAGGTTTTGGGTTCGAAAATGCTATAAAAACCAAGAAAAACAATCATTTTCCTGTAGTCTGGTTCCCTGACTCCATATAAGAAGAAACAGAGCAGTTTACATACATTGGGGAATTGTAAGGTCAGGGAACCAGTCTAGCTGGCTCGTACCCGTTCATAGGTTTGTAATCGATTGCAAACAAGTGCGATGGTCAATTGGGGCCAGTATTTGAAAAAAAAGCCAGTTTTTTCCAACGCTGATCGGCCGATCAGCGTTGGAAATTGATACAAAAATACCACTTTTCTTGAAAATGACAGTTTACCAGGTGCCATGATTTTACAGGATGCTTTACACTGTTATTCACTAACAGTCCAGCAAGGTATTTCAAAATGATTTGGTAGTTTTATTTTTGGATGTTTGCAAATGTTGTATTTTCCCTTTAAAGGGAAGATACAACATTTGCAAACATCACAAAACGAAATTATTAAATTATCACGAAATACCTTACTGGATTGTTAGGGAATGACAGTCTAAAGCATCCTGTAAAATCGTGGCTCCTGGTGTGCTGACATTTTCAAGAAAAATGGCATTTTTCCCAACGCTGGTCGGCCGACCAGCGTTGGAAAAAACTGGCCTTTTTTTCAAAAACTGCTCTGAATTTTCGTAAATAGTTATTCCGCATTTTCTTTGCAATTGGTTACACACATGTGAAGGAGTACAAGTCTGCTAGACTGATTCTCTGACCTAACAATTCCCCAAAGTCTATAAATTGCTCCGTTTCAACTTAAGTGGGGTCAGGGAACAAGACTGCAAGAACAGGATTGGTTTTCTTGGTTTTTCCAACATCTACAAGCCCAAAACGTGAAAAAAGTCATTTTAACAATATTTGTATAACATGCTAATCCTCCAAATCCATTTATTTCTGAAAATTGCAGCAAAAGCAAATGTTGTACATTCCATTTAAAGTCATTAATCAGATGTTAAAGTGGGTTGGGTAAAGATAAACAACAAAATCCTGGTATGGAAAAAGCCCTAGTTCTTATCAGGCAAAATCGCCTCACGCCAACGACATTCTGGAACAAAATTAAAGTAACGAAATTAAAGTATCTTTTCATGGACTTTGAATGCTACAATCCATTCCTTACTCATACACATGTGTAAAATTAAATTTAACAAGACCTCACCTACAAAACTCACAAAAACAAATATGACAAAATACAGAAAATATACAACTGGGTAAAATTGAGAATTTTTTATTCAAATCTTGCACTTCTCTGTCTCACGAAGTTGATCATGAAAGAAAATTTTTATTTAAAATACCAGGAATTTGTAATCAATATTTAAAATATATTTACATATATGTACACACATGTACATTAATGTCACTGACCAGCCCTTCAGTGTAAACTCTGCAGAAACCGTACGCTCAAATGTGTGTATGCATATGCATCTTTAATAAGAGCCAGTTTAAACTAGTAGAGACTGGTTTGAACTGGTTCAAACCAGATTTGAACCAGTATTTCATATACCTATACAATACACTAAGTATACTGTCTGATCTACTAACCATGTCTTGCATTGTATCAAACAGTACTACATTACTTAAAAATGCAACTTTTTTTATTCCTACGATTTTAGTGCATCAAAGTAGATTTTCACCCGATGGTTTTAAACTTTTTAAGGTCTCTAAATATGTACAGTATTTTGCATTAAGGCAGACATTTTTTTCTTGTGCCTTTTATGCTAATTTTTTTTTTTCTGGTTATCAAGAAATCCTTTGACTGAGATTCGTTTTTTGTTTGTGTGTTTGTGTTTTATTTCATGACGGAACTTTGCATATCAATCCCCCCTAAAGATAGATATATAATATTGGATGGCTTTGAGAGGGATATAAGAATATATTGCATGAGCTATGATGAGGGCACTATTGTTATAGCTAGTGCAATATATTCTTGTATCCCCGGGGAAAAAAGCCATCCAATACTATCATTATTATTTATATCAGGCAGACTTAATCAGCAAGAAATGGACACTCTCTTTATTTCTGAAACTTCACCGAATATTCTTTGCTTACCGAAGCAAATTTTGCGCTGCTCGAAGCTGCCATTGTTGCTGTTGACAACAGTGCGCGTATATCATGATGCGCGCTGCGTCCGTGCCCGCGTACGATGGTACCGCGCTACGCTCTGTTGACTGGTTGACAACTGTGAGGTTCTACGCTCTTGATTGTGTGGGAACCAGCAGAAATTGTTAAAATGCCCGGACTAGGAAAATATCAAAAAATAATATTGTCCTCATCTGGGTACTTTGACTGACATAATATTGCAGTCGTCTGTGAACTTTTCATGACAGCATACAATACAGTGATTTATTTTTTATCACTGGAAGCCTGATAAAAATAATAATAATATGGTTTAACTCCTTGGATACAAAATAAATTACCTCAATATTAACGGAAATAAAACATTGTGTACTATATGATCTTTGAACAGATATATCAAGTGTTCGTGTCTGGCGGGTGCAATTTTGGAATAATCTGCTCATTGCACACATAACCTATACAAAATTAAAACTAACAAAGGCTTAAGTTTTTCTGCTTATCAAGGTTCCTTCACTGACTGCAGAAAATGAAAATAATTCAGGTGGAAACCTTTGCTGCAAGGTCTACTTTTCTGTAGCATAAAAAGCGTAGTTTGTAATGTCACGTCAGTATTTAAAGCACAGTTAACATTACAAACAATTCAACAGACGAACAAAAATGCAACTTTTCAACTTATGCTACAAGCATTAAAGCACCACATCCTATGAACTCCAAATTAAATATAATTTCAGATATTTCCTATGGAATTTGACAACATGTTAAAAAAAAATGGAATTACTGAACCAATTGAAAAAGTAAACCTCATAACTCTTGAAACAAAATTGGAAAACAACAGAAAATTGTGCAGATGTTAATTATGTTAAAGTGTGCAAGAAATCAGCACCCTACATAAATGTCCATCTGACCTTAACATTGGCCAGGTGGTTTCATCTTCTCAATTGGAAAAATTCCACATTACAACTGAACAACAAGAATAATGTTTTTCCCAACTTATCTCATTGGTCTCTTTATCTCTTTTTAAAATGAAAAATTGACATTTGTATTTTTAACAAAAACCTAAGTTGTATTTTTCTTATGTACAAAGTATTTACATATGAAATAGTGAGGCGTGATATCTACAGTGATGAAGATGTTATTAAATTTACACAGAAAGGGATCTTCAACAGTTAATGTATCGAGCAAAACATCCCCCCCCAAAAAAAAAAAATGAAAATTCAAATTTCATTTAATGCTACTTGAAAAATAACTTGCATTGGTGTGTGTGTAACTATAACTTATATTAGTTATTCATATTTACTTAAAACACACCGCTACCAAACTATCTACATGGAAGATACCGAAAATGCATATTAATTAGGTATTGCCATGGCGACACCACATGCAGTTGCGATTGGATGAAAGAGTGAAGGTAGTCCCCTGGTATTGGATGCTTTCCTTTTTACAAATATTCATGATGCAATTCCTGGTACAATCTGATTGGTTCTCATGAAACACATCTGGGCCAAAGGTTAATGATATACATGTAATCTATCTGGTTGAAACCAGTCGCAGCTAGTTTCAAATCTAGATCCAAAAATACTATCAAATTCTCTTTTAGCTGAGGCAGTTTTGAAAAGTTGCTAGAGTACTCATGCTGTGTGAAAATTTAAAGTACAACCCGTTTTGTTGTTGTCGTTGTTTTCAAAAACTATTTACAGCAGGCTATAATGATGACAAGATTTATGTCATATATAGCCCTTTATCCCACGAGCGTGAGTGCACCACAGAACAAAGTAGTGTGTCTTAGTACCAAATGCCACGAGCTGAAGGCCAAGTGGTATGTGGGACACAGACGCACCAAATTTTCCATTTTCCATGAGCGCGAGCCGATAACGAATTTATCTTCAGGCCAACTTGATGCACAGTAAGGATGGAACACGAATTCTGTGCATGAACTTTTCAGCGGTAATCCTATAACATGTGAGGGCAGTAGGTACAGTGCGCATCTAAGAATAGTGCGATACCCAGACTGCGATATGGATAATGTTGTTGTCATGAATCAGCCAATCAGGATCGAGGATTCAAGTTTGCTCGAAAATGCCAAAATTCAGTATTTTTACAGCGAAGAATTTACTCTATGCATAGATTTCAGATTCAAAAATCTTTGTAGAGTTATTTGATCTAAAGTTATTTCAATGCATGAACTATTTGGCAACTTGATTTAATCACGTGGGGTGATCAATAAACAGAAAAAAAGAAATTCACCATAATTCCCGCAGCACTTTTGATAGAAAATTCCTGAATCCTACAAAATCAAACACAGTGCACAAAACAAATGGTCATTCTTGAAACTTCATAGGTGCATCAACCCCTGTGCCAAAAAAAAAATTAGCTAGGCCCAACTTTCCTAAATCCTATAAAATCCTTCAAAAAAATTCTGATAGAATTTGTAGGACCAGGGAGTGCACGGTAACAGTTAGAAATCGACAAAGTTACTATGCAAAACATCCAATAAAAAGTATCAGTGTGACATAAAGTTTAAATTCAGGTTTCTATAAATTTTTGTCACTTTTGCATCCCTTGCTAAACTGGCTGTGAGACTTTACGGTAAAACGACACACATACCATGCTACCAATTTTGTCCGTATAAAATTATTGCTTCTACAAACTACATTCAAGTCCAAAGTTAAAAAAAACCCACAAACATTGTCCTTCATTTGCTAAGAAAATAGAAGAATTTGTGCAACTCACAAAATTATGGCTTACAGTGAACAGAGTGAATGATTGAATGGAAACAGTGGCCAACAGAAATCTGGTAAGCACGGAAAATACCTGCTCAGCAAAAACAGGTTTCTCAAGGTACAAAGCATGCAAATTATTATAACTTCTGACTTGCTTGGGCAAAAAATATTGCTATTAAGCATTCATTGTCTGCTTAACACCCTGTGCAAACAGACATTCTGTGCCAAGTTGTCATTTCAGTCAAAATCAATCAAGTGACTGTTTTCAACAGCTAAGAGCTCCCAGCCAACATAAAGCAGGATTGACTGGCTGAGACTGTTTATGTAACTTGATACAGCTATAATGTCTGCCAAGTAGGTCCACGAAATCAGGCCTCAGGCTCAGGTTAGCAATTTCGTGAACCTGGCCGCGGTGTTTTTATCTGCAGCACACATCGTCAATGGATCGTCATTATTCAGCTAGTCGATGTTTATTCATAAGAAAATAACAATGACGTCAAATCATTGCTATCACACTCAGTCATGCATCAAAGAACAGCTTTCGTCGAGCTGCCACAGTGGCCTAGTGGATAGTGGAATGAACCATGGATTGCAAGATCTGTGGTTTGAACCCTTGTCCAATTTTATGAAATATTTTTGTTGGTTGGCATAAGTTAATTGCAAGGAAAACACTACAAATCCTAAGTGTCTTCCATCCACACAGCGTGATAAATATTCATGTTAGGGTGCGTGATGTGATTGGTTAAAAAACAATGTGTCAGCAAAAAAAAAAGGTGCAACCTGGCCCTTGGTTTCCTACAACCTGACCTGTGATGACCTCTGACTTATGACCCCAGGAGTAAGGAACCATATCTTCTATTGGCTACAAATTCTGAAACAGAAAAAGAAAAACGTTGTTATGTATCAATGTCGTCCAAGTCGCCTACGTCGTCCTGAACCAACGTCTTGGAAGACTCGGAGCTGTCTTCATTCCCGTTGACCTCTGACCCCTCTGACGACCCGTTGACCTCCATCTTGGTGTTGGAGTCCCCCTCGACGTACTCCTCCTCTTCGTCATTTTCGATGTGTTCACCGTCGTCGTCACGCGTGTTGAGCTCGTCCAACAGCGCGGTGGCTTCGGCCAGCGTGTCCTGAGCGCTCATGGTGCGTTGGAAGGACCGGCCTGTGCTGGATTCGTTGGAGACGTTCTGAGGCGTCCAGTAGTGCTCACTCATCTATGCAAAACAGCAACATAACGAAATAAGCACATTAATTGCCTAGTCTTGATAGAAAGTTGCTATGGATTTCTTGTATAACATAAAAAAATCAGTCAATTGACAGATTGTTGGAAATCACCTACACTTCTTAATTTCTGCTAAATGACAGCAAGCTAAACAGAATTTCACTAGGTGTTTAGTACCAGTACGATCCTTTTAATCTTAATGAGATTTGTGATAATAATCAGCTAGATTAAAATGATCCTATGTGCCTTCAAGTTAGTCAGCTTGCTTACACGTAACCATTAATGAAATACGGTTTACATAATTAGCTTGTCTTTGACTTGGTTAACTTGGAAAATTAAACCTTTTGAATCGGAGATGTTATACCCGGTTAACTGACCTTTCAAAAAAACTACATATTGGGGAGAGGTTCTTACCTTTTTCTTGAGCCAGTTGACTGCCCACTGCCACCGGACCGAGATGGTCATCAGATACTCTTTGGCCATGGAGCATTTGTTGGACAGATGGACCAGGAATTTGATGCACTGGTAGGACCGACGGCTGTCCATGGACGTACATTTACGGATGATCTCTGCGAGAAAATAACAAGAAATAGTGACATTAAGTTTATAACAGCCACGATGAAAAAGTCTGCAAGGAAGGCAATTAAAGCTGCAGTCCATCATTTGCAGCTATCCAAAAAGTAACTGACATAATTATTGTTGAAAAACATACTTGGTTGAAAGATACCGGTAGTAAGGGGACTAAACTATCTGTGAAATTATTCTTTCTGCCATGCTATCATTTTGAAGAAATCAATGAAAGAAGGCCTATCCAACAGTGCATCTGAAGACGCACCACTGGAAATTTCCATAAGTAGTTTGTTTTTCTTATTCGGCGAAGCGCACGCAAGCGTTGACACGACGCACACGCGTGCGCCCTAGATAATTCATCGGATTAGTGCGCGACACCGCATAGCTGGAATCAGCCAAGTGAGAACGTGTCTTGGACGCTGAATTCAGGCCCAATTCAAAACATGATTCATCAACTTTTGATTTGAAATCGAGATGCTAGAATGTTTTTTCTCTTGAAATATACAGCTGAAGCTGAGCTGAAACTTCATGAGGTTAGTTGTTCAGTATCCTTCTTTAGATTTTAGCACGTTTGTTGGGTCATACAAACAAAATGCACAAATTACAAAAATGGACTGTACTTTTGAATGTTACTACATGTACTCTATACAGTTTTGGTCCAAAGTGTGACACAATTTTTTTGCCTCTGTTATCTTGGTACGTTGTAATTTTCCATTCAGAAATACCTAAGACAGTTTACCCATTCCTATTGGTCGAGAGCCTGTCTTAAACGGTTGATAAAACACCAGCTGGCTGGTCTAAAACACTCTTCTGGTGTCACATGAAATTTTGACTCCTATATAATCTGGTCCAATTATCCTTTTATTGGTTAAACTTTCACAATCCTCACTTGCACAACACTACCAGTGAGTCAGTTTTTCATAGTCCTAATTCACACAACACCAGCACAGCTGCGCTCTGCACCACATCCTGCAGTATGCGCCACACCCAGGCCAATCTCCATATAAGGAGCTGTTTACGACTACTTGCTAGAGGCTAGAGGCACATACCATAACATAGTTAGAGGGGTGTTTTAAAAAAATGAAGTAAAAATATTGGAAAAGTCATTGGAAATTTATATTTTTTTGACTGGTGTTGACTTTTTGACGGAAAAGATATTTGTGAATGGGAATAAATCTGTGCTTGGCTGGTTTTAAACAAGTCAGTTTAAGACTGGCTAGGGGCCTGGTCGCTAATAATATCCCACCCTTTGGCTCGGGCTATTATCAGCGTCCATCCCCCAGCTGGTCTTAAACGGACTTGTTTAAAACCAGCCAAGCACACATTTATTCCCTTATTCAAGTAGCATTAAGAATGACTTTAAACATTTTATTTGTTGGGTAGGTAGTTTGCAATTCACATTCACTCTTGGAGGATGACTGCATCAAGGAGTGCACCAGAATTATATAATCACAGATATCAGATGTAACAGGCACATGAAAAGAGTGGACCCCACATTGATACAATAACCCATATGTCTTGGCCTCCCAAGATGGCATCCGAGTGGCTTCACCCTACCCAGACAGAGATGAGCGCTCCTTACCCAAGAGGCCATTGTTGTTGTTGCCTTCCACAGCTAGCTTGAGGCGCTTGCCCTGCAGGGGGTCCTCCATCATCAACAGCTCCAGGAGGAGAATCAAGATGTGCTTCAGCTCATTGGTGGGCGCCGAGGACACCTGACCCTGTATCGGCCAATCAGGGCGGAGAGACAATAAATGAAAAAAAAATCAATACAACAAAGAGGAAAAATTCTGGCACATAATGTAGCATTTATAATTTCAATCTCCCTTGTTATGTTTAAAGGTCCATAGGATTAATTGATTTTTGTGCATTACTTTTCTCTTCACTTTGACCGAGGTTTTCTCCATAAAATCGTTAATAACATTCAAATACTCCTGACTGTCAGAAATTTCTTGCTTGGCACCTTAAACCTGTATACACAAAGCATTTGGAAACACTTGTTAACATAAGCAGTGCTTAGGTCACTCACGGATCCTACACACAAGGATAAATTACTGTTCTGAGCTCCAGTACAAAATGCACTGAGTGGACTTGCCTTAATTGGTTAGACACGTGATAACAGGCATTAATACCTGTTGGCTTGCAATCGCGAATTTTCCAGGTGTGCTATTGTGTCGGTTCTTTGCATGACATCTTATACGGAAATATTCATAAAGCTGTATGCAAAACTACTCCTTACGTAGGACATAATTCTTCTAAAAATGTTAAAAAATTAATACTTCAGGATATAACAGATGGTATTGTGCAGTTTTTGTCATCATAGATGAAGTATTTACCCGGAAAATAAACGTCAAACTTCGAGGAGAACGCCGTTTACCCCAATTTCGTTTTTAATGAGGCTTTCATTAAGAAGTTTTAGACAGATGTGATCCCGAACCGATGAAACAAAAGCGACATCTCATTGTTCATTTTAAAGCTTAAGATATTGTGCTCAATATTAACGCGGTTATGCAGTTATCACTTATCAGAATTCAATAATAAAGACCAAAAACATAGATTCATTAGCTGGCTTGACTGACTTTGACACCAGATCGGGCGCAGAGCCCTGCAAATCTGAAAGCCGCCGCGCGCAGGGGTCTTTGTTGACAAGTATTCATGGTATTTGCCACCAGTACGGGCCGTTATCACGCGTCTAACCAGGAGTTTGGCTGAATCATTCATCCTCGTGTGTAGGATCCATGCGTCACTTAGGCCACGTCACTCAACTACTGAAGTCTTTTTGATGCCAAATTGCAAATCTGACAACTTTAAAAGAACACTGACTTATGAATGAGCCATTGCATGAACAAATCTGCCCACCTTAAAAAAGTTTGAATTACTTGCTGCACGATCATTCCAAACCCAACTTAAGGCCTTATTCATAAGGTTGCAGATGTCCCCCCCCCCCTCCCAAAAAAAGGTTGGTCTTTTGGGGGCTTTTTAAAATAACTGAATTGTACTTACGTGGATCATCATCATGACGGACAAGGTGAACGTGTCGTTGCAGTAGCAGCAATGCAGCAGCATGTCGAGCAGTGCAGTGGTTGCATTGGGTACTTCACGGAACATCAGTATGACCTGCGGGGGGGACCACATTGGAATTGTTAGCCAAAAACAGGTTTATTAATAAGGATATTGAGTTCTACAGTTGTTGAAACAAATATGCTGTGTAATTTTAACACAGTCACAACACACAATAAATTGCTTTTTTTGGACAAACCTGATTTAGGGTAACCTTGTTTCATAAATAGTGATAACATTTTAACGTGTAGGGCAATGGAAATAAATTTTTTTCACTTAAAAGTAGTTTGATAAATGGGCTTCCAAGACACAATTAACTTTGGTGCTACATAGATTTTTTTTTATGAAACATACATGTATTTCATTGTGTATCTCTTTGTTCCTATAGACTGAACACATCACAAACTTACATTCAAAGATTGTTTTTTTAACAAAAGATTGAAGAATAAGACTTGTAGAAATTGACGATTAAGGACAGGTACAAAATCCTTTGTCCCCTTTGTGTGTCTGTCGTTTATCATTAAGCCGTACAAGAACATGCAGTTGTGCATTTCTATACGCCCGAGGACAATGCTTTGTGTTTCCCTTCGTCCCTGTAATATTATGCTCTCCCATGGACTAAGCACATAACCATACGGTGGACTGTTTTTAACAAATCACCCAACGCTTGAGGACTGAAAGGATCTTTTGTTCTCCATTTATGTGTCTGTCCTCTACTGTAAAGCCACACATGTACACCCGCACAAGTGTGGCCGTTTTTTACATACATGTAAAATTTTACCCAAACTGACATTGCATAATATTTATAACTGGACACCTCATGCACCAAGAAAAGCTTTTGTTTTGGAATAGTCAGGGTTCAAATATAGCAGAAACGATATCTTAATGTAGACGTAACGGTGTCAAAATTACTCAGTGGAAGTGTGACATTTGGGGTTGACACGGTGTTACGTCCACAACCAAGCTATCATTTCTGCTCCATTTGGTACCCAACTACCGGTACCATACCAAAAGTTTTTCTTTGTGTGTTACATGTATAGTAAGAAATACATGAAGTGAATTTGGGAAATGCTTTACAGAAATTTCATTGACACGTTGTCAATGTTACGTCCGAATGACATTTTTGCTCATATTTTTGGCAAAATACATGCAAATGATTTAAAACTTTCTGCAGTCGTGAAACACCCAACAATAAATATTATGTAGAGCAACTGCAAGCAAGGCATTCATACTTTTCATAATATGGTCATATGCACACATTGTTCCAAACCCGGTTGAATAACCCATAAGGTTATCCTCATGAACTTTTTATAAATTGTAATACACCGATCCCTCTGCCTACATGCACAAGAGCAGCCGGGTACAATGTACAAGTACCACTGAACACCTAGTCACAACCAACAACAATATGCTTGAGGCCAGAGGTGTCTCATAAAAAGCTATTCATAAAAATCTGGGAATTTCCCATATGAGAAATTGTGTTCATGACGAAACAGTTGTGGCGTCATAACGACAGCCGTTGCTGTGCACTTAACTGGTAGCGAGGCACTATTCACTATTGGACAATCCATGTGCACAACATACAGTCATGCTGTTGTAGTAATAGCTGAATAGTAGGGTGTGGCTGATACTGCCGACAGACTGCATGCAGGAAACGTCTTCAAACTGTACCCATAAACAGGTCTGTTGAACTTGTAGGTAGGTGGACAATGTTTAAGGGAATATACATTTGCCTTTGCTGTAATTTTCAGAAATGGATGGATTTTGGGGGTTAGTATTTTACAGCAAATTACACTGACTTGTTTGACGTTTTGGGTTTGTAGATTCTAGAAAAACCAAGAAAAACAATCATGTTCTTGTAGTCTGGTTCTCCGATGCCACTTAAATTGAAAAGGAGCAATTTATAGACATCGGGGAATTGTAAGGCCAGGGAACAGTCTAGAAGGCTTGGACCCGTTCACAGATGTGTGATCAATTGCAAACAATATTCAGACTAAATATGGTATCCGGGCAGTAATTGAAAAAAAAACACCATTTTTTTCCAATTTGAAATTGATACAAAAATACCACTATTCTTGAAAATGTCAGCACACCATGATTTTACAGGATGCTTTAGACTGTCATTCAATAACAGCCCAGTAAGGTATTTCATAATAATTTGGTAGTTTTGTTTTTTGATGTTTGCAAATGTTGTACATTATATATTCCCTTTGATGCAGCCACACAGGCAAGCATATATAACACTATGACAGCCTGCATTATGCTCTCATGTATCCAAGAAGAAGAAATATTGACTGTCATGATGTTCTTTGATTATTTACCTTCGTATTGATATGTGCATGTATGTTTTTGACTTCATCTGCATAAAACTGAAGTGATTTAAATACATATTTACATCTACATGTACGCAAACTGTTAGTTAACTACAGTGGAACGCCGCTTTACCGAACACCGCTATACCGAACATTCGGCTATACCAAACATCATCCTTGGCTCTCGGTCAGGGTAAGCCTTAAGGATTTTTTTTTGTATAGCAAAACTGCTATGCAAATTTTGATTTGCATAGCAGTTTACCAATTTTGCATAGCAGTTTTGTTATACTCAAATTTAGCCTCGGCTTTGCAATTACTATTTACCTGTCAGTGTCAGACTGTACAAATTACAAAGCAATAAAGAAGTAACTTATGTTAAGCTGTGAACTTAATGACTCATCAGTTGTCTGTTTATTTCAGGAGCTGCATGCTTGCTGGAATAACTTTCGAGTGAAAAAGCAATTTATTAACCCGGGCCATTCCTGGCCCGGGTCTAGATCCGCCTGTCAATTATTGGCAGTGTTTGCCTTGATACCGGTAGTTTTCGTAGTAGCCATATTTTCATCAATATGCTACACAGCGCACAAACGACAACACAGCTGGGATTTTCACGTTTTTAGTTCCCACGAATCCCACGTGCGTATCAAGTGATTTTCTTGAAGGGGTAAACCCGTTTTCCGTGTCGGCAAAATGTTTAAGATAAACCGACAAATATCTAAAGAATAGTGATGAGAAAAGGGCTCGATTTACCTGGGTGCACGCATGCACCAGTGCATGTACATGTAGATTTTAGCTTGTGCACGTAGCTTTTTTACTGAGCATGCACGACGTGCATGTAACTTTTTTAGCCACCAAAATACTCATTTCATGCATATATTTACCAGTGAGTGAGAATAAGAATAAAGTTTGTTGAATAATTGACCAGATAGTGTACAAACGTGTTATTTCTTTTATAAATCCATAAATTATTCCTCGCACAGTCGCAGCAGATTCAAAGTTACGAGGTAAAATCTCGACGTACGTCCTGCAACCTCCTCCGATCATGCACGTGATTTACCACGTGATAGATGCTGCGGATAATTTGGTATCGCACTGACGCTCCGGGCATTCCTTATGTCCGGATCATAAGTGCGATTCCAAATTATTAGCTGCGTTTATCACGTGGTCTCGTTATTGGCCCATCAGACGCCGCCTGTTTACAAACTAAACACGTACAGATTTTATACAGCTGAACAAAATTGACGTTCTTTTTCAGTATTTAAGCTTAACTAAATCAAAACATGATGGATGTTTACCATGTCCGATAGTTGTGTAATTCAGTGGACCGAAATTTGGTGGCAAGTACACTTTGTGTCAACTTTTCATGATCAAAATGTTGTATAGCAGTTTTGCGATGCACTTTAAAAATTGCGTCGCAGTCGACCTCCAATGTGTCGCAAATTGCGATGCGATACCGCTTATTGCGGACCCTGCTCCCGGTTTTAATGTACAAAATCAAGCATTGTTGTTGAAAAAGTCAACAGATTAACAAAAAAATCTACTGGTTGTACATGTATTAAACACTACTTGGGCCACTTTTAATTCCAGAACATCAAACGACCCATAGTTACATCGTGTGTGAATGTCGACAAGCGACAGATGGCTATTATTTCCCCAAGGAATGAAATTAAGGGAAAACCACCAGGCCCAAGGAATAAAAGGGAAAACCACAAGTTGCTTAAACGTTTCGTGAGGACTCCTCTTGCGGCAGCGGAATGTGAGAAATGCCAGTTCACTATTGGTAGGAAGAGGGTACCGGCAGTTCAAAATCACTATATTACGAACACTTTCTGTGGATCCAACAATGTGCGTTATCGTGGTGTTCCACTGTATACTGAACACGAGTCAGTCTATATTTAAACAGTATCTTATAGTATGCATTTTTCTTTCCACTCTTATATGGTTCATGTAGAGTACAACTGAGCAAGATGGCAGAGGGAGGTATGACCGATCTAGTCTTGGATGAGACTCAGAAGGAACTTCAGGAATGTCCTATCTGTTGCACTGAGTACAAGGATCCTAGGATGCTAGACTGCTCACACAACTTCTGCCTGAAATGTCTGCAAGAACTCAGACTGACACAAAATAAGGACGACAAGAAAATTGTCTGTCCATTGTGTCGAAGTGAAACTGCCCTGTCTGAAGCTGGCCTGGACATGCTACCTGGAGGATCAAGGGATGTCAATCAACAGGAACAGACTGAAGGTCAGGGGTTACAAGTCATGTGTCAGGCATGCGATGAGGAAAATGAAGCCATTTCTCGATGTATGGATTGCAAACATTATCTCTGTCAAGAATGCCTGAAGGCACACAATCGATTGGCATCACTGAGGGCTCACAAGATGGTAGCTTTGACAGAGCTACCTGTTGAGTTCCAAGATATAATTGAGGACACTGAACTCAAGAAAGTTCCCAAGTGTCTCAAGCATCCAGATCAAGATCTCTGTCTGTATTGTAACTCATGTGAAGTCCTCATATGCAATGAATGCACAAACATTGATCACAAAGAATCCATGCATTCTCACGTCAGCATCGACCAGGCGGTTAGCAGATGTAAACAAGAAGTACAAGAATCCGTGTCTAAAACAGAAGAGTGCATTCAAAAATTCATTTCTGCAAACCCCTCTTCAGGTCATTTACGTTACAGACTCGACAAGATGCTGGTAAAAACTTACTCTCAAATTTCACAGAAAGCAGAAAAGGAAA